GCTAACCTAATAGATCCATTCATAATACAAACAAATGAAGCAGGAGAAATAGCTATAAACGACATCAGTTGCCAAGTATTTGCACGGGACGCAGTATTAACTGCCACGGAAGAAATCCAAAATACAAAATATAAAGACTTTACACCTGTAACTAACATGAATAATATTTTAGAAAAAATACCCGAACATATACACAAATTCGAAACAGATGAAAAATGGGAAAAGGGACCAGCTATGCAATTCACAGATTTACACGATGCATCCAAATCTTTAGACGAAGTACAACAAATGATTAACCAAGAACTTATAAGAGAACAAAATCAAAAGCATCAATTTGTACACTGTAATTTGCTATATGTAACAAAAGTACTGGCAGTAATATCTATTATACTAATAATAGCAATTTACATAATGATAAAATGCAAGTATATCAGGACCACCGAAGTCATGGAATTTCCCGGCAGAATAGTTAGATATAGGCAGTGGCGTGGTGAACATTTATAAACCTTGATGCCCAGCATATATTTCAGTACCTACCTCTTCTTTATCCCCTTAATATAATATATAATACATATAATTATTATGGAACTGTAAATATTTTAATTTTTGTTGTATGTTATTGGTTACCATAATGTACCCAACCACCCCACCCCCAAAAAAAAAAATTCACCATGACGCCTAGGCGTCATAAAACCCCATTCACCACACCACTGGATATAGGACACCCAATAGCAATGGTGGGCATTAACTTGTTAAAAAGTTAAAGTTAAGTTAAAAAGTTAATTTTTTTTTAACTTTTTAACTTAACTAGTTAGTTTTTTTTGTTTTTAACTTATTAACTTATTCAGTTAAATTTTGTATTGTTTAAACTTAACTTTTTAAAGTTAATTATCATTATTGTACAGTTAAGTTAATTAAATTAAATTTTTATCATGTGGAACCAAGAGACAAAACTTATTCTTTCTATTTTGCCATTTTGGTAATTTATTTTTCTAATAATATAATATCATCAATTCATAATAATCAAATTATATTATAATCTATAGGTACTATAGTAAAGACTAAAGAGTAATAATTAGTATACTATCCTTGTATCGACTGGCTATTTTCACGAATTCTATTATTTAATGATTTAATATTATTTAATGGTATTGAATAATCCGATTTTTGTTTTATCTAACTCTCCAATTCCTAAAAACAGGTTTAAAACTAAATATCATAGTCTTTAAATGGATATCATTATATCAATAATATATACTGGTTACTGGTAAATACGACAATTCCAATAGACAAAACAAAAAGTCGTCCGAGATATTTATAAATTATAATTTATATTGCCGTATTCGTTATAAATACAAATAAACGTATGCGATTAGAAAATAACATTATCGAAATAAATATGGAAACAATTTTTGGTAGGTATTATACTATTATCATTATTCATTGATTTTATTTTAATAATAGACTATTATAATGGTACTAAATGACAAATATTTAAAAACAGCCTATACCTATTAATATTATGACTTAAAAAAAAAATTAACTTTTTTTTAACTGAGTTAAGTTAATTTTATTTTCCATCTTAACTTTTAACTTAACTAGTTAAATTTTATTTTTTTGTTAACTTTTAACTTAACTGAAGGCAATTTAATTGAATTAACTTAACTTTCCACAGTTAATTATTTTCATTAACTTGCCCACCATTGCCCAATAGGAATGACTACGTACGAAATTATGAAGAGACACCCTTCACTCCACCACCTTCACCAAGATAAATTAATTAATTAATTAAAAAAAAAAAGAAATAAAATAATAATAATAAATAAAAAATAAAATATAAGTTAAAAAAAAATAGTAATGATATACAATAATAATAATTAAACTAGAGATAAACGATTAATTTAATAAATAAATAAGAGCTAGGTATATGTAAACTATTAAAGAAATACTATATATATAACTATGTTTCAGGAAACAATCAAGAGGGATTTCAAAATAAATATAATAACATATATACACATGAGCGAACCCACACCAATGCCTGAGCCTAATGTTTTTTATAAGGAACTAAGGGATAGGTTACTAAATGATACACATGATCAATTGGTACTAAGGAACACAATATATGTACGTTGTTTTAGACAACACGTAATAGACGCAAATAATAATATGCAAGTACCTTTTAACGAAACTGAACTTGAAACCGTTATGGGTCCGTTAACAGCCTTCTTTTGCACTAGATGTAACCGCGAACCAGCCTATAATTCAATGTGTTTAAAAATCGCAGAAATATTAGATCAATATTATATTCAACACCAAATTTATAGTGAAGAACATATTCGATAAATAAATTAAAAGATTTCATTAACAAATAAATAATATAACAAAACAAAGAATAAAAAAAAATAATAATAATAAAATATAATATTATATGTGCATAAAGAAATAATACGTAAAATAATATTCTATAATTTAAATAAAATAATATTACGTGCATAAAAAAATAATAATATGTACATATACGTAAATAATATTCTAAATAATAATTATATAACAATAACTTTTAACTATTTCAGAAATTAAGAAGAAAAACAAAAAAAAATATATAAAAGCACACGTAAAAATTTAAAGTATAAAAATGGGTGAGAACGTACACCTGTAGCACGAACCGTTCGAATGCAACTACAAACATTTGAATTTCTCAGAGAGTTGAAAAACGAATTAATTGAATCAACCAATCATACACAAATAATGCGAGGGGAAGTAGTCAGATTACATTGCTTCCCGGAACACATAAGAAGGGCGAATAATAACATGACCATACCTTTCAGGCCAAATATCTTAGCGCGGGTCATGATCCATGTTAATGACTTTGTACGCACGGTTATCGTAAGACCAAATCATAATAGACCCATGTGTGTAGAGTTGGGTTTACTAATAGAACAATTGATCAGGAGGCGTGTGATCGTCGAAACGATTTTCGAAGAATAACCTCAGGAAACATATATCATATACATAGCAATAAATACTAAGAAACCAATTAATTTAAAAAAAATAATTATTTTATTTTAGCTCACAGGTACGCTTTTTATAATGGATTTCGAGTTCTTTACCATCAGTAAGAACGAAACATTACTGGTATCCGGCGCGATATCGAATAGTTTAGAAAAGTACCAACCCAAGAAATTGGAGGGGAGTCCTCTTATACTTACAAAAGATGATAAGTTAAGAAGATTCCGCCGATGCGACCTAAAGAAAATAGTGCAGAATATCAAACGAGTATTCCGAGGGAAAAAGGCAAGAGTGATTGAACCATTGCTGGAACAATTATACAAAAGTGTAAGTCACCAGGGGGAATCGACCTTGTCGTTTACCTATGTTTCTTTGCAAGTATACCGTAATACTTGCAAAGATATTTGCACATAAACGATAGGGAGCCGCTAATAGTATTTTGGAACGGATCGTCAGATATCACGATAATTAAGCGTTTAAGGTTAACAGGAATTTTAGCATATTTAAACATATCTGCAATTAGCGTTAGGAATAATGATGAATTTATATTAGAATTAACAAACCTAGAGACTAAGGAAATATTATATTCAGGCTATTTAGGTAAATTAAATAAAAATGGTAGAATGTTAGGACTGTCAGAAGCTCATGAACTAGCATGCGATATTAATCATAATATTACACATTGTCATGATCCGGTTGCCGACGTAATTTTAACGAAATGCCTATTCAATTACATAGTAACAAAGATAAAGCCCATTAAATTATATAAATTAGCAAAAAAATATAAAAGGAATTTTAAGGCAAAATAAATAATAATTATTAGTTAATAAATAAATATAACACAAAATAAATTAAATAATGAAAACAAATACATAAATTAACCTTTATTATATATTTTAGATTCATTGAGAAGCTAAAAACTATTTTAAAAACAGAAGTACATATTTATAACGTTAAAGAAAATAAATTACAATCCATATGCTTTAATTGGCATATATTAAAGGCAAACAAGAAAATAAATAACCATTACGATCATAGAACTTTAAATAAAATAACCAGATACCTTGAACTTTTCATAGATGATCATTGTAATGGAGAGTGCAAACAATTAGTAAAAATAATAGAAAACACTAGAGATCCAACTTACATGATGAATTACCTTAAATAGAACCATAGTTGCATATGTCTATGGCAAATCTAACAATTATTCACATAGATTAGTATATAGGTGGAAGATAAATATTATTTTTATATAAAAGGGGAAATACTTAAATTTTATACTTACGTAACGCTTATGATGTTATAATTTCAGGTACATATATTATTTTATTAAAGATTATTAATCATTCTATTCTTATTAACACTATTTGTTTAATTAAATCATGTATTTATTTATTTTACTAACCACAATTAAAATTGTAATATGAATAATAAAAAACAATAATAATAATAATGATGACATTAAAAATTGTAAAATGTTCACATTATTGTAATCAAATGTTATACTGTAATCAAATTGTTAACTGTATACAAAATTTAAATATCAATGTAAACAATGTAATTCAACCATTGTAAACTATTAATTAACGATGTTAAAGATTCTTAACCCTTAAAGGTTAACAATCTTTTTTTGGTAGGGAGGTGTAATAGGATTACGCAATATCATGTATTTGCTCATAAAAACAACCAGGAATGCGACCACACCCAAAAGTGTTTTCGACTAAAGCTGGTTACACACTGAGCGGTTTGTCCGCGCGCGGTCGCGGTTTTTATCCGCGGTGGTTTAAAACCGCATCCGCCGTTTTGATACATACTACAGGCGGTTTTTCTTCGCGCCATAATTAAAATAAAATAAAGTGAATATTGGGGCGAGTTGAAGTAAATTATATTATCAGTTGCATCAAACACGTGGTAGAGGTAAGACCTTTGTAGGTATTTGATTTTAGTTTTCAAGTTAAGAGTTAACATAAATATCACCTATACCTATAATGGACTTATTAAACGATGTTGAAGCCATAGCTGTAGCATATGTATTACAAAAACGTAATAAAGTTGCAAAAAAGGAAAAATCCAAAAGGAGATATTGGGTACATCCGATTAATATGAAAATTATTAAAGAAGGTCAGTTTCAAGTGAACTTCATGACACTGAGAGCTCACCCTGAAGAATTTTTTAAATATTTCAGGATGTCTATAACATCGTTTGATGAGCTAGTAAGTAAATATATAATGATTAAATATTAATTATAAATAAGAAAGAACCAGTGCCACAACTACCTCAGGTGCAGGCGGTACACCGCCTTATGGGCCTTAAAAATGTATGAATACGGAGCCTCAGATTTTGTTATACATAACATACAAATAATTTTAAAACAAATATAAGAATGTAATAATTTTGAACTTCGAGTGTTTCAAAATAAATATTGCCTATAGCCATAATTTTTTGACATGAATTTTTTTGGTTACAGTGTGAGCTCCTTATGTGGATCATTATTTTAAATATTTAATTCTTTTAATATAAAAATTTAACATTTTATAAATATTTAACTGAAAAATAATTTGTACATTTTTAATAATAGGTATGATCCATTTTGTCAAAATTCGAAAATTTAAAAATGCTATAAAAAAAATCTTAATAAATATTTTAACAATGTGTGAGAACTGAGGAGCCTAAAACTAAATTTTCAAGCATTTTGACCCAATGAATAAAATTTTATTGACATTTATGGAATAAAATAATTCAAAAATTCAAAAATTGACAACTGAAAATGCTCGTTAACAACTTGAAACGAGTTAAAATATTTGGAAAATTTAACAAGTATAAAAATGATAAAATAAATATATGTTGTAAATAATTCAAGAATCTACGGTTATTCGTTTTTGAATTGCAACAAGATAAGAAAACACCCCCCCCCCCCCGCCATCGATCTTAGCTCATTAATCACCGACCCAAAATTTAGACACTACTGACGAGTGACGATAAAGGGGCCCTAAAATTAGCTTGCACCTGGTCTTCAAAATTTTAGTTGTGGCACTAGACAGAAAATACTATAATATGTTAATATTTTTACCTTTGGATAACAATAAATCGGATAAAATATTATGTAATAATTTCTATTTTTTAAGATTTCACTGGTTTGGCGCATTCCAATTTGTACAGAAGAACGACTGACAATCACTTTGCGGTAAATAAATATTTACTAAAAAAAAAAGTTAACTCAACTTTAATGCTGTCTTAAAAAAAAATAAAGTTTAAAAGCTTATAAACAATTGAAATATAAAAAAAAACATACAGAAGTTTACATTCTATTTACTGTTATGGTATTCGTCAGTATTCAGGCTTGAATAAGTGAAGAGTGTTGTCGATGTAGAAACAGGAGCAGTTACTGTTTGAGTTGAATTTGGATTATAGTATAACTGAGGCATGGCAGCAGCCGATGGCGATTGGTAAGCACCTAGTCCTAATGAAGTTGATGGGGATGAAGGCAGTGTTATGTTGACGATGGTTTGTTGCAGTCGAATATGCGTCATAAGAACGGTCATAGAAAGTTGAGATAGGAGGTTGTATGGACCATGAATTAACATTATTGATTGCCGGAGTAATGTGTGTATTTTGGCTAGGACTTTTTGTAACTTTTTGTATGACCTGCAAGAATTCAATGAAAATTTGGTTTTGTTTTTCTTGATTTAACAATTTGATTTGTGGCGCCAACGACATAAGAAAAGAAGATACTGGATCTTCAACTTTTCTAGTTTCCAACAACTTTAATAAATTATCTTCAAAAGACATTTTCGGTTTTTTTAATAACTTTCGTTTTTGGGATTTTGGTGTCTCTACTTCCGAGTCGACTACACTGACATCAGGATCATCCACATTTTTCATTACTTCCGATTCAACTTCTGTATCCTCTTCTGGTTCACTCTCGGGAACAATACTTTCAGTCCTATTGAAATAATAGTTGTATATCATACTTCTGAATTTTTTCAAACGATTAATTATTTGTATATGATATGATGTAAATGTTTTTTATTACCTTCTGTTTTCCATCGTAGGTCTTAAAAACTGTAAAATATTTGAATAAACATATGGTTTTTCATTTTTTGCAGCTTGTCCAGATTTTTTTATACACTTCTTTCGGTAGGTATCTCGTATGTTCTTCCATTTCAATTTAAGCTCCTTTACTAATGAAAAAAAACATGTTTTTTGTAAAAATTATTTACATTAAATGCAACATAATTGTTCGCGCCTAGTAATTAGCGAGACGATGTCGTTATCGTTGTGCCGCGACGACGACCGTTCCTTTTCTTTATCATCTCTCGGCTCCACCGACACCTCTCATTATTTAAATGTGTATTATTATTATTTTTGTATTCATTATAATTATCAATGTTCTTTGTCCATTATTATTGTCTATCCTCTGTCTTTGGGCATGATTATCATTGTGTGTAATCATATCTTTTTTTCTCTGTTTACTTTATACGGCCAACGCCCCTGTTTTTGTTTTTATTATATTATCGTATGCTGTGTTGTTGTCGTGTATCATCTTCTTCTAACAGGTGTCTCGCTCTTGTGTTTTTTGATCTGCTATTAAGAGGACGTCTCACCCGCATGTGTTGTCTCCGTCTTACACACATACGACATACCAACTGTTCGTTGGCTAGTTTCAATAGGAAATTGTCAGTTTTTATATTAGAGTGAATTGACCTATTATCAAACTTTTAGGTAACAACATTATCTGTGTTCTCTCGTTGGTTTTTTACGATATTTTAATTTTTAAGTGAATTATGAACATTTTAGAATATGAATACTTTACATACCCATAACTCACTTAAACATTAAAATATCGTAAAAAACCAACGAGAGAACACAGATAATGTTGTAACCTAAAAGTTTGATAATAGGTCAATTCACTCTAATATCAAAACTGACAATACCCTATTGAAACTAGCAAACGAAAATTTGCTATGTCGTACGTGTGTAAGACGGAGACAACACATCCGGGTGAGACGTCCTCTTAAAGCAATCTTTTTATTATTATGTATTATTCACTACAACAGTGAGCACCAAATCTATTATTCTTAATTTATTTATTACTGCAATGTGCACCTGGTTGCTCACTGTTCTTATTAGTATACTTTGTGTCGCTGTTATACAACAATCTCAATAAAACACGATCTCATACCCAAAACTGAATGCGTAAGTCATTTAATATTATTCTTATTATCATCATCATCATAATAAACGAGTCGTCCGCGTAAGTCCGCCAGCAACGTACGTTGTGTGAGAGGCCGCCCAGGTCGTCGAGAGTCAACTTCCCGAGCTGCGTCTTCGGCAGCGTATCACCGTCTCCGGACTTCCGTAATATTTAAGTTAGTTTGTAAGTACTGGCCTTATATTGTGAGCTCTGTGATCATTGCACCATACCAGAATCGATCACAGAGACCTCTCCCCATAATTAAACTGCATCATCCTAACTCCAACAATAGGTCAGTCCCATCCTTATCGTCGTCGTGCAACTATAATTGCCTATCCGCAAACAATAATGCGTAGGCATATTCGGTTGCTTAATTACTGTTAGTCGGCACCTTTTAAAAAAAGCACTAATAGTAATAATCTCGTCTCGGTTGTTATCGAGTGGTCCTTCGGGTAGCCCCCCTATTGGTTTGCGCGAAAATTTTTTGGTCCTTCGGGCCGGATTGTTTAATACAAACCACAACTATGTATACGAACCATTTTTTGTTGTCCATGATCATTATTCTTCGTTGATATTATTCTTATTGTAAGACACAGACTAGTTCCTACATCTTTAAAATCTGTACTGTCGTCGAATTGTTGTGGACCTAGAAGTTAGTGAAGAATCTCACCTGTATATAGTCCACGTACCTGTTCTCCACGAACAATCTCATTACGTGCATCAAATAATTTCGAACAACAATGGCGGACGTTATTTACAACGACGCAAAGTCTCGCATTATTCGCTGCGTTACCAAATTGAAATCCTTTGCCCAAGCTTCTATTGATTTCAATAATGACCGTACAAACTCTGGTAAACGAGCCAAAATTGCCAAAATGATTAGTGAGCTTGCTATTCTTCGTAACGCAGTTGAGGATGATGTCCAACGAATGGAATCAGCTGTTAATTCAAACACATCCCCTGCCGAGATCACTGACAATAGTGAAAGTCAAACTCTTATCACGTCATTCGATAGTCTCTATTATGAACTGGCTGAGTTCGCTGATGTTCACAAGTTGACAATGTCATCCTCGATGGACGCAGCTGCTTCATCATTTTCAAATCAAACCAGTGGTCAACATCAATTATCCGCTTTTCAGTTACCTAAGCGTACATTCCCTGTTTTTTCCGGTGAGATGACCGAGTGGCAGGGCTTTGACGATTTGTTTAACTCCATACTATCGCACGCTCCTGAACTGCCGGACGTTGAGAGGTTTGAATTTCTGAAGATGTCTCTTAAGGGTGAAGCGTTATCACTTATCTCCCATCTCGCGTTAACGGCTACAAATTACACTAGTGCGTGGAAAATATTGCGTTCACGTTATGGCAATAAGCGTGATCTTGCTCGTATTCACCTTGATGCTCTGCTCGCTAACCAGATTGTTAAGTCCAATGATGGCTCCTCTATTAAAACTCAGATCAATACGATCTTAGAGAACACTGCTGCTTTGGACAATCTTGACTTTGTAACGCGTCAATGGAGTCCACTTCTGGTGCACATCGTTGAAAAACACCTTGATTATGAACTTCGTGCTCGGTGGGAATTGGTCGTTGGGGAGAATCATTATCCTCAAATTTCTGACTTTGTTGATTTTTTGCGTACTCATCTGCGGTCTGCGGAAATTTATTCCAGTTGTTCATCATCTGACCGACACAACAGTGCATCGAAACCGCACAAGTCAGTTAAGCAATCAAATTTCAACCCTCGCTGTTCTTCAAGCGTTCTAGCCACCACTTCGAGTACTTCATCCGTCAAGCCGTGTCCACTGTGTAATGCACCTCATTCAATAAGGTCATGTACCCTATTTACTGACAAGCCTCCAAATGAACGCTTTCATATTGCAAAAACGCATCGTTTGTGTATAAATTGTCTGGGGACAGGTCACTCCTCAGCGCGATGCCCTTCAACCTATACATGTCAGTCATGTAGGAAAAGTCATCACTCGCTGTTGCACTTTAATCCTACTGCTAATAAACCAAATACCTTCGGTTCAGTATCGTCAAATACATTATCCACTAAGACGGCAGCGCCTGTACCTGGGGCTGAGTCACATGTTACGACTACCTCATGTCTTGTTCGAGGACAACCTCAGCGCTTCGTTCTATTGTCAACAGCAGTAGTGGACGTCTATGCTGCCGATGGACGGCGACACGCGTTAAGAGCTTTATTAGACTCTGGTTCACAAGCTAGCTTTATCACAGAACGAGCTGCTTGTGCTCTTATGCTTCGTCAATTCCGATCTTCTGTCAGCGTTACTACATTCGCTAGTTCAGACTCTACAGTTGTTCGGGGCAAATGCAGTATTAAGATGTCTCCCTCCGGTCAAAAAGCACCCTCTTTTTCTCTTGACGTATCGATACTTCCGCACATAACTGGACCGACTCCTCAAATTCCGGTAACGTTTGGACACTGGGATTACATTAATAGTCTCTCGCTGGATGACCCATCATATAATACACCTGGCCCAATTGACTTGCTAATCGGAGCTGATCTATTACCTTCAGTGTTCCTTGATGGCACTCGAAAGGGTCAAGTTGGTGAACCTCTCGCAATGAACTCTGTTTTTGGATGGGTGCTCATGGGCCCTACGGAACTTTATGACCGCTCTTCTGTTGCCACACTTAGCGTAAATATATCTGAACCTATTGACTCGTTAATTAAAAAATTCTGGGAACTTGAAGAGCTACCCACCGCTTGCCATTTGAGTCCAGCTGACGTTGCTGCTGAGAAAATATATACTTCTACTACAACTCGTTTAAGTTCAGGCAGATTTGTTGTCACTCTTCCGTTTCTGAAACCTCGTCCACTGCTTGGTGACTCGAGAACGTTAGCGTTGCAACGGTTCAAGGCCCTAGAATTTCGTCTCAACCGCAACAAAGACCTGCAAGATCAGTACGCCGAGTTCATGCGCGACTATCTGACGGCTGGTCATATGGAGTTGATTCCATCGTCTGAACAAGGCCATCCGTTTCATTATTATATTCCACACCATTGCGTGCTTAAACCCGATAGCCTGACTACAAAGCTTAGGGTTGTATTCAATGCATCTGCAAAAACGTCAGCCGGTATATCCTTAAACGACAGTATGTACACAGGTCCTAAACTGCAACCTGACATACAAGTTGTTCTCCTCCGTGCTCGACTTTGGAAATACTTATTTATGGCTGATATAAAGCAAATGTATCTCCAGATTCTCATCAGACCAGCTGACAGAGATTATTTGCGGATTCTGTGGAGATTCTCGCCCACATCTCCGATTGACGAGTACCGTTTATGTACAGTGACGTACGGCACCTCTGCAGCTCCCTTCCAAGCACTTCGCACTGTCCGCGAGTTAGCGACTGTAGATGGTGCAAAATGGCCGATAGCTGCGTCTGTGTTGTTGAATGACACGTTTGTTGATGACATCCTGACCGGAGCCAACTCAACAGAAACTGCTCTTGAATGCCAAACCCAATTAATAAACTTGTGTGCTATGGCGCAATATCAATTGCGAAAGTGGGCCAGCAACAATAGTCAACTTCTGCAAACTGTCCCAGAAGAAGCCCGTGCCATTTCACCATCTGTCCTTTTCGACAGCAGTGACCATTCCGACTTGAAGGTACTCGGGCTGAAGTGGGACCCGGTAGCTGATAATTTTTCTTTCAAAGCTAAACCGTCAGCAGTCACTCCAACGAAGCGTACAGTCCTTTCAGACATTGCTAGGATTTTTGATCCGTTAGGCTTGCTGTCGCCAATAACATTCTGGACCAAGCATGTCATGCAGCAACTTTGGATTGCTGGAATCAAATGGGATGAAGAAATACCAAAGGATATCGCTGTAATGTGGACACGATATCAGTCAGAGCTGATGTTAATTGAAACCGTTTCTATTCCTCGTCGAATAACGTTTGATAACGCCACATCGATACAACTCCACGCATTCTCGGATAGTTCGGAAAAAGGATACGCTGCAGCTGTTTACCTTCGAACCACGACTTCTACCTCAGTTCATTGTCACCTTGTGACCGGCAAGTCGAAAGTAGCGCCTCTAAAAAGGTCTACGATTCCGCGACTTGAACTCTGTGGAGCTGTCTTAGCTGCCAGACTTCTACGGTTCGTCATCGATACCTATTCAACTCGTATCAAAATCGATAAATCCCATGCCTGGACAGATTCAACCACCGCTTTAGCGTGGATACAGTCATCTCCTCATCGTTGGGCTACGTTTGTTGCTAACCGCACTAGCCAAATTCACGAGCTTACGTCACCCGACATTTGGAACCACGTCCCCACACATCAAAATCCAGTCGATTGTGCGTCTCGCGGACTCTTTCCATCAGAACTTGCTACTCATCCGTTGTGGTGGACAGGACCTGCATATTTACTAGAATCTTCTGACAAGTGGCCGTCTGCTGTATCCCGTGCAAATACAACTGATGCTCACATCTCCACAGAAGCGCGAAAATGTACCGTCCTCCTAACTACGACAAACTGCTCAATTAGTAACGTTCTACAACGTTTCTCATCTTTAGACAAGGTCCTTCATATTATAGCCTATTGTCTTCGGTTCTCCAAATCAAGTCCAGGTACATCGTACACACACCTTATTGATGCTAGGGAACGGTCCCATGCCTTATCGGCCCTAGTTTTTTACGTTCAACAAACGTCATACCCCGATGACATTTCGTCCATAAAAAAAGGGTTGCGTTGTTCTCCCGCCATTCAGAAACTCGATCCGTTCATTGACGATCATGGACTTATCAGAGTGGGCGGACGTCTCACGAACGCTGACCTGCCATACGCTCACAAACATCCATTGCTGTTACCATGTCATCATCACTTAACCGTGTTACTCATTGACCATCATCACCACAGGCTAAAACATCCAGGATCTATAGCCCTTCAAGCTCATTTGCAGCGTGAATTCTGGATACCATCGGCACGAAGACTTATTCGATCTCGTATACGACTCTGCGTCGCATGTTTCCGTACCCGGCCACGGTCAGTTCAGCCCAAAATAGCCAGTCTGCCAAGTTATCGAGTTCAACAAGTTAAACCGTTTGCCATCACTGGTGTGGACTACGCTGGTCCTATCACGCTGAAGGAACCTCGTGGTCGTAAATCAGTACCTAAACTAGCGTACTTTTGTTTGTTCGTATGCACCACTACAAAAGCAATTCACTTAGAACTGAGTTCTGACTTGTCCACCGAATGTTTTTTGATGGCGGTTACTCGGTTTTCAGCCAGACGTGGGCCTATTAAGGAAATGCACAGTGACTGCGGGACCAACTTTATTGGAGCGTCACGGTTGATGGATCCACTTCATGAACTTACGCATTCCCAACTATTTCAAGACAGTGTTCATCGCCACCTTGCCAATCATCATATAACTTGGCACTTCAACCCTCCATCATCTCCACATTTTGGTGGCTTATGGGAAGCAGGAGTCAAGTCCACTAAATCATTAATCCTTCGATCAATTGGCATCCACAAATTGACCAGTGAAGAATTCCTAACACTGCTCACCCAGGTTGAAGCGACCTTAAACTCACGCCCGTTATGTGCACTCAGCAACGACCCAGATGATTTCGAAGCGTTGACACCTAGTCATTTTTTGACTCTAGAGCCTTCGACGTCACTTCCTGACCCAAGTCTAGTCAATGTTCCGATGTCGAAATACCAACGATGGCGATTAATCACAGATCTACACCGACATTTTTGGACACGATGGAAGAACGAGTACCTTAGTAGCCTTCAAATCAGGAAAAAATGGTCTGCACCCGGTCAGGAACTCCGTATTGGTGACCTTGTCCTCGTCAGGGAGGCGACACACCATCTTCGTTGGGGAACTGGAAGAATTCGTGTCCTCCATCCTGGCTCAGACGGAATCTCCAGAGTGGCCACTCTCGACACTTTATCTGGACCATTGAAGGGCCCAGCGGTCAAGCTCTGTCCACTCCCAATGTCTTGAAGGGATTCCTTCAAAGTGGGCGGTGATGTTCGCGCCTAGTAATTAGCGACACGATATCGTTATCGTTGTGCCGCGACGACGACCGTTCCTTTTCTTTATCATCTCTCGGCTCCACCGACACCTCTCATTATTTAAATGTGTATTATTATTATTTTTTGTATTCATTATAATCAGGGCTTAAAACCGTTATCAATTAAGTCGGTAACCGGTTATCGTTTAATTTTGATATTTTGGTAACCGGTAACCGTTTCTTTAAAGATATTTCAAACACTATGATAACCGTTAATCGTTTAAAAACCGTTGATTATATTTTTTGGTAATCGGTTACCGGTTAAAACCGGTTCTTAAAAATCATTTTTTTTCAATTTTTTAATCATATTTTTGAAACAGTTTATTTAGGTTATTCGTGGGTTGATAACATAACTATTATTATTACAAAATCAAAAACTTAATATGCTTTAATTTGGTCGATTTCCTTCAATTATTTAAATATTTATTTTTCAAACTGCTTTAAAGTTTAAAACATATGATCAAGATAATGGCGTTCTTAATAAATCAAAAAAATAAACTACATAAAAAAATGTTATTGTTATAATTTTCTTCTTTATAACCGTAAAAAACCGAAATAATATATAATAATTTTGTACTCATTTTTGTGAAGGGCAAAAATGTGTTTCTCCAAGTTTGACGAATGCTTACTTTTACTAACATTTACTACTGTTTTTATTTATATCATACGTAAAATACATTTCAAGAACAGGGTTCTTCATTTTTAATTTCCGTGTATAATATATGTAGTTATTCTTCAAATTATTTAAATCTTAACCCCTTTAAACACTTTAAACAACAGCTTTAAAATAATATCATTGACCAATGTATAAAATATAAAGTGTGATAGACAGTATTAAAATGTCGTAAATACTAAATGGACTAAATCCCTATTCCACCAACTATTTCGTAATAGGAATCAGCGCGCGAGGACGACGACGATGTTTATGACGGTATTTATAATATTAGTTATACAATTATACCTATATATATATTGGTTATTGATATTCACAACAAATAAGCAATACTCGACGACAATTAATTGGGGAAAAAATTTAAAAATAGCTGGAAAATTAAATTCAACTATAATGTAATCATGACATAATTCAAGTATTGAATTCCACGAAAAAACCGTTAATTTTTTGGTCGGGAATAAATTTTGGTTATAATACCGGGATTGAAAAAACGAGGTAACCGCTTTGATGTTAATATTTAGATATTTACCTTGATAACCGATAACCAATAACCGCTTCCAGCATTCCAAAACTAAGAACGGTTATCGGTTTTTGGTTCTCAAATTTACGGTTATTTACCGGTTTTCGTTACAAACCGGTTACCGGTTTTAAGCCCTGATTATAATTATCAATGTTCTTTGTCCATTATTATTGTCTATCCTCTGTCTTTGGGCATGATTATCATTGTGTGTAATCATATCTTTTTTTCTCTGTTTACTTTATACGGCCAACGCCCCTGTTTTTGTTTTTATTATATTATCGTATGCTGTGTTGTTGTCGTGTATCATCTTCTTCTAACAGGTGTCTCGCTCTTGTGTTTTTTGATCTGCTATTAAAGCAATCTTTTTATTATTATGTATTATTCACTACAACAGTGAGCACCAAATCTATTATTCTTAATTTATTTATTACTGCAATGTGCACCTGGTTGCTCACTGTTCTTATTAGTATACTTTGTGTCGCTGTTATACAACAATCTCAATAAAACACGATCTCATACCCAAAACTGAATGCGTAAGTCATTTAATATTATTCTTATTATCATCATCATCATAATAAACGAGTCGTCCGCGTAAGTCCGCCAGCAACGTACGTTGTGTGAGAGGCCGCCCAGGTCGTCGAGAGTCAACTTCCCGAGCTGCGTCTTCGGCAGCGTATCACCGTCTCCGGACTTCCGTAATATTTAAGTTAGTTTGTAAGTACTGGCCTTATATTGTGAGCTCTGTGATCATTGCACCATACCAGAATCGATCACAGAGACCTCTCCCCATAATTAAACTGCATCATCCTAACTCCAACAATAGGTCAGTCCCATCCTTATCGTCGTCGTGCAACTATAATTGCCTATCCGCAAACAATAATGCGTAGGCATATTCGGTTGCTTAATTACTGTTAGTCGGCACCTTTTAAAAAAAGCACTAATAGTAATAATCTCGTCTCGGTTGTTATCGAGTGGTCCTTCGGGTAGCCCCCCTATTGGTGGGCGCGAACAATAATATTATGTTCATTGAAATAATCTAAAAATTAAATTTTCAACTTGTTGGCCCAACGAAAAAAAATGTATTGGCATTTATAGAAAAAAAACTAAAAATAATTTAAAATTTAAAATGTCCACAAATTGCTCTAAACAAGTCAAAATATTTTAATAAATATTTTTAATAAAACTAATGATGTATAGAAAATGGTAATTTTTACATCCGGTGAAAAAAAAAAAAAACTTGCCTGTCACTAAACTACTGCACTTGGTCTCACCTATATATATATAACTATAACTACTACGTCATAATATAAATCTATAAAACAACATTCATAATCGAGGTATTGAAAATCATCATGTAAAATAAATGTATTAATTTTTAATTTCAATACACTTTGCATTGTTACGAATAGAATAGTTTTTATTTTGCATTTTAAATTTTAGAATTTTAGAATTTTTGGGGCATTTTAAAGTTTTTCTAAAATTTGAATTTTAAATTTTATTTTAAAATTTGTACATGCTTTTACATGATTTTTATATAAATTTAACAAATTATATCTATGTACAGGTTAAATACATTTATGATCTAAACCTAAAAGAAAGAAATAATACATTTTTTAGATTAAAGAAATCAAAAAGTTTGTCTGTTCTGTCTTAAAAATTTTTTTACAATACTTTAATAGTCTAAAATGTAAATTATCATTTATACCAAATTTGTAGAATTTTAGAATTTTAGAATTTTAGAATTTTTTTTTAGAATTGATATCGATCTATTAAAAATTAAAATAATTTAGTGTATTATTCGGAATTTTCATTGCATCTTTTGAATTTTTTTAGGGCATTAAAATCCCAGCCTTAATAATAATTATTACGATAATTGATCAAATACAAGCCAAGGGGGCCACTGGCCCTAATCCCCCCCCCTCTTGCGGACGCCCTTGTGTGACATTTATTAGTTTTAGTTACTTTAAAAAAAACTAAATCTTTTTCGTCAAAAACTGATTTTGCGTAAAAATCTCCGTATTTACTTAATTTTTTGTTTGTAACTCAGAATGAAAAAATTGACTTCGAAAAAGGTCGACATTCAGCCCTATAATATTATAACTGTATCATTGTAATTTTTACCATATTCTGCAGTATTATTTCTAATGATATATTTATTTGTTGGATAAAATATAAAAGGATTGACGCGGTCCCGCGCAAAATCTGTTTGAATTCAAACAGCCTTTGCGCGGAAGCCGCGCCGCGGCTTCTCAATCAAACCGCCAATCGACGACGGACGACGCCGGCGCGCGACACGCGCGCCTGGAACCGTCGGCCGGCCGTCCAGCGAACCGGATTGTCAAGGCGCGCTCTCTCGTCTTCCCGACACCGTCCGGTACACACCCGAACCACACACACGTTCCGTGTATTTTCGCTACCGGTTCACAATATATATATATTAAATAAGCTCTTTTGTTTTTAATAATAAAGACTTAGTTTACACCACAGTGCGTCGTTTGTTTGTTTCTCTTTGTTAATACTTTGTCTACTATCCCGTCTGTTGTTTCGACCCGACTATCTCCGTCGGTCACCACCATCACCTCACCACACCACGCGGCTCAATAGAAGTCCGCGTCAACTGGCTCCCCGAACAGGAATCACCGGTAAGTGAAAACTATCTTACCACTCACTACCACCCACATATACCCCCCGTTGCGCGATTGGAAAAAGTCCCGGACGCGATCCGACAAAAACTTGGTTTTCAGGCGTTAACGGAAAAACCGGCGTTACGTAATATATTACATAACCATAAAGGACGTAACGACCGGCCGCGCCGCCCGACTTACGGACGCACCGACCGCACCGCGCGCGACGTTTCAGACACACACACGACGTAGGTAGGCATTAGGTAGGAACGCAAGAGCGCGAGAGGGTCTAACCACCACCGCCCAGCACCGCCACTCGCCTACGTCAACACGCGATGACCCGGGACAAAAATACCACGTAATCGGACTGCCGCGGCCGCCGCTGAAAGCGACAGCCGCCGCCTTCCCTAATCGCAGTAGTGCACCGGATAGCGCACACACGCGCATCCGCGAAAACACTGCGAAGACCGGTTACTGTGATCGCCCGGCAAGCGCAACAATAACAATAACAACCCACTGACCTACATTCTGTACGCAAATAAACACCGATAAGCGGGCAACACAGCTGATCGAAGGAACGCGATACCCGTTCCAACGACAACAGCCACATTTTATATCTCCTCGTCAACAACACCGGGAAACCAACCGGAAGTCATGCCGGGAAAATATATTAATGAATTAACCGCCGCGGAATTGCGCTACGAATGCGGACAGCGCGGTTTAACGGACACAACCACAGCCGAAACCGGCGGGAAAAAAAAATTTCCCCAAACCCACCCACCACAACCAACGCACCAACCGCGAACACGGGACGGTACGGCAGGCAAACCGCAACCGCCCAACCCGTGCAGATACTGCGGAGGTCCTCACTGGAACAGTGACTGCCCCGGGAACACACCGCGTTCGGGAAACGGGAAATGAGTCGGCGGACACCTGTCCACGCCGCCGCCTCCACCACACACACACACACACACACACACACACACACACCACCACGCCACCACACACAACGTTCGGCATTACAGACGGGGATATAACCATCAAACGCGCATCGATAAACTCGGCGTCCTCACATATATCACCCGTCCAAACATCAACAATTTCGTTAAGTAGCAGGTCACCATCACCACACCACGCGGCACACCAAAGGTCCGCATCAACGACCCCTACTACGAAATTAACAGGTACACATACAGTACATACACATAGCACAGAGGTAACCGAAACGGATGCTCTGGTAATGGCGGTGCAAACCGCTCCCCAGAACACCGATATCGCGGTTAAGAACCAGTTATCCAGCTATACATCACCACCAACGTCGAATAACGCTAAACGAGTATGCCCCGACAAAATTCCGACCCCCGCGGTCGAACTCGAATTTAGGTCAGGCCCCGTAACAGCTCTACTCGACTCCCAAACACAAAAATCGTATGTAAGCCCGAACACAGCACAAAAAAATTATTTTTTTTTTTTGGCACACCCCACCACGGACAACCCACTCAGGTACGAATGGCGGATGGACACACTACCATGACAAGTGGTACCTCCACATTCGTAGCCAGAATCGGAGACCTCACGGTAACCTCCAACGCAGCCATTCTGGACAATTTATACTGCGACATGCTCCTAGGTCACGACTGTCTCGTGCAAAACGAAGTCACCTGGGACTACACAACGAGCACTATTCATTTAGGTTCGAATAGGAGAACAACAGCGTGCTGGAAAGGTCGGATACCCAACCCCAGCCCAGCACTAGATGTTGACAAACTAACAATAACCCATGCTAGCGAGATAGGAGCGGGTGCCGTCCTTTTCCAACGGGGTGACAGCCCGGACGAAAGGCGGATAATCGCCTACGCAGGCAAAAAGTTTAGTGACACACAAACAAGGTACGCCGCGATAGAACGCGAGTGCCCCGCGATAATCTGGGCAACCAATGAGTTTAGACCATACCTGGAGGCACGCCGGTTTGACCTATACTCAGACAACTCAGCACTCACATGGCTCCACCGAGCCAAAAACACAAACTCAGAATTAACCAGGTGGGCACTACAACTGGCCAACCGGGATTACAAAACCACGCATGTGCCCGGCGTACAGAACGAAGCGCCGGACATGCTCTCCCGCAACCCGACTACCGGGCCCCCGGTAGACGAGGAACACCTCGAGGAACGACTAGTAGGAGTACCCACCACACCACTCGTCACCACTACTAGTCCACCGGCCGACAATCTGTTCGCCACGACGAACCAAGCTAACACCACTAGTCACCCCACAATCACACACGCTATGCTCGTGACATGGCAGGCCAATGACCCCAACACACGAGACATAACGCACAACATGACAACGGACGACCCAGCGCGCAATACCGGAGGTACCTCGAAAAAAAAAAAAAAAAAAAAAAAAAAAAACAAGCAATTCATTTTTACCGACGGTCTTCTCCGGATAAGTTTGGGCGAACACACACCCGTAGTCATCCCAAAAATCAACACCCAGAACGTGATCTGGACTAACCACGATCACGTACTCGCAAACCACCCGGGCTGGAAAGAAACGTACAGGGCGGTCAAACACCGTTATTTTTTTTTTTGGAAGGAAAAAGAAAAAAAAAACGACATCCGACTGTACGTCAAGTCGTGTCCCATATGCGCGTGTACCAAACCACTAAACACGCGCGCAGACGGCTCCGCGACCACCAGAATACCCAAACCCCCCCAAACCATAAGCCCACAAAAGTATTTTTTTTTTTGTGAACTAAATTTCAGTCGGCACAGCAATTCACCATCAAATGGAGCAGCAACGCACCTCATCGACATCCACGCTCCAACAAGCGGCAGAGCTGCTCGAACGAAGTCAGCAGCTGCTGAGGGCGGTCACCCTCGAGGAGGGCACCACCGTCACCACGGCGGCCAGGGTCCGACGGATGACCACGGCACAATTGCAACGAGACCCGGTACTGTGGGCCGCCTACTCGCGCGGATGGGAGGACCGCACGGCCGTATTCGTTAGGGCAACGAGCGGCGAACCCACAACCACAGTGCGGCACAATAGGTCCCGCAGCCCCAGACGGGTGACCCGACCACCGTCCCACCCACAACCGCTGATGGAGAGGCCGGTACCACCGCCAAGGACGGCGACCAGGCCACCTCCAACAACCACCTTCAACCCGCCGCCACCGCCACCACCAAGTGCCACCGCACCAACACCACCTACAGCCACACTGAACGCCCGCCAACGCCGGAACCAGCAGCGGAAGCGGGACTTCATAACAAAACGACAACAGGCATCCCAGCAGCACCGCCTGGAAACACCGGCACTACCCGTAACCCCAGGCCCAGAGACGGTCCTGTCACAGCCAGGGCCTGCGTCCCCGCACATAACCGTGGTCACGGTACCAGAAGTGACACCCACTTCCGGAGCGACCGGAACCACGGAGCGACTGGCGGCTACCACCCCTCAACCAGAGGATATGGAAATATCCCCGGAGGAGGAGGCACAGCTGTTAGAAGGTGCGGGCACACACCTGGCTGACCACGAGGACATGGACGTCAGTCAACTATTCTTTAGCCCCCCAACATCACCCAACCACGACTAGACACCGCCAGGGCCACGTCCGCTGAACACAGCCGGAAAACGTGCCCGCGGACAAGTGTCTACTCCCACCACCCTCCACTCATGAACCTCCACAACCACCTCCACACCCTGAACAAACCACAACACCGGTAACGGCCGGAACACCAACGCCGTTGGCGGTTTGGGGGGGAGTATGACGCGGTCCCGCGCAAAATCTGTTTGAATTCAAACAGCCTTTGCGCGGAAGCCGCGCCGCGGCTTCTCAATCAAACCGCCAATCGACGACGGACGACGCCGGCGCGCGACACGCGCGCCTGGAACCGTCGGCCGGCCGTCCAGCGAACCGGATTGTCAAGGCGCGCTCTCTCGTCTTCCCGACACCGTCCGGTACACACCCGAACCACACACACGTTCCGTGTATTTTCGCTACCGGTTCACAATATATATATATTAAATAAGCTCTTTTGTTTTTAATAATAAAGACTTAGTTTACACCACAGTGCGTCGTTTGTTTGTTTCTCTTTGTTAATACTTTGTCTACTATCCCGTCTGTTGTTTCGACCCGACTATCTCCGTCGGTCACCACCATCACCTCACCACACCACGCGGCTCAATAGAAGTCCGCGTCAGGATATTATAAGGAATAATCTATCATATGATTTGAAATTTGGTAACAGATACTTAGCAACTGGACAGCACTTCTCCGCATTGCATTTTGGTTTTTTGGCTGGTGTGTCAACTATAGCCATGATAGTCCGAGAAACTTGCAAAGTTTTATGGACAATTTTACAACCAATTGAAATGGCAGAACCCACTACAAATGACTGGCTTAGTATAGCTAAAGGTTACTTTGAAAAGACGCAGTTCCCGAATACTGTTGGTGCAGTAAGTTATTTTATATACTTTTTAGTTTTACTAAGTAATAATCTATATATCGATGTTATATAATAGCTCTTTATATTTTTTATAGTTAGATGGAAAACATATACGGATTGAGTGCCCAAAAAGTAGTGGCTCGTTATACTATAATTATAAACACTTTTTTTCACTGATTCTTATGGCTATTTGTGACTCAAATTATTGCTTCCAAATCATCGATGTAGGGTCATTTGGTAAAGAAAGTGATTGTAATGTGTTTAAGACGTCAACGTTTGGTAAAAAACTTTATGACGATAAATTAAACTTTCCACCTGAACAATGTCTACCGAACGATGAACTTGGTTCACCACAACCATTTGTTCTCGTGGCCGATGAAGCTTTTGCTCTTCACAAGAACCTATTACGTCCCTTCCCAGGTAGAACCTTAAACGACAAAAGGAGAATTTTTAATTACCGTTTATCGAGGGCCAGGCAATACATCGAATGTACCTTGGCATCATGTCTAAAAAATGGCGAGTTTTTCAAACAAATATTTTGGTTGAGCCAGATGCTGCAGTTATAATAACAAAAGCTTGTTGTGTGCTACACAATTTTGTACGTCGCCGTGATGGCTTTAGTGTTGAAGATACCATGAGTAGTTCCTGCATGGAGAGTGTTCAAAGAAGAGGAGTAGGAAACATTCAAAAAAATGCCAAAGACGTCAGGGAGTATTTTGTAGAGTACGTCAATAACCCGAACCATGCACTTGACTGGCAAAATACAATAATTGGCAAATAATATATAATCAGATATGTTTTAAAATTGAAAAACTTTTCTTAAAAAATATAAAGTCTATAATTTGTTTCTATTAAGGTGTATTGGTTTTTAAAAACCAATTTGTTTGTTTTAACTTTTAAGGTCAAAAAATTTGTTTATATGTATAGGTAACTAAATGACTGAACTTTAATAATATAGGTAGTGTCCATAATACTTAAAACGTTCACAAAATGTAATATCTATAAAGTATATTATAATGATTCAAAATACTGTGATTAATAATTAATAATTAATAATAATTACTACCCTAGTATTTATGTTAATTAATACTTTTTTATTTTACTACAATAATTATTACTTTGTATTCAAATAACTGATAAAAATAAATTATTTATTACATACTTTTTTCTGTTTTTTTTTTATCGTCCATTTCGTCGAAATGTACTGTTGTAGCACTAGCCACGTTGGTCCATCCTACATGGAGAGCCTGGAGATCGTGATGACTACTTTCTTCTACATTTCAAATACATATTATGTATTATATTAATATTATATGGTAAGTGTTTGAGGTATGAAATATTTCGCAAAAACGTGAAACGTTGAAATTTTTTTTAACACAAATAAAAACACTATTTTTTTAAAACAATGTTCAGTGTTCTAAATTCTAATGTAATAATTCAGTAGGTACCTATACAGTATACATGTATAATATTGTATACCTACTTGCATCATTTGAACATAAAAATATTTATAAATTTTGAATACTAGGTACCTATTTTAAATGTATAATACCAAAGGTTAGGTATTACATAATTTATGTATAAGTACCATACAATTATGAAGGTAATTTATGACAATTATATGTAAATATAAAACTTATTTAATAATAAAATAAAATGTATTAAAATACTGAAATATTTCACACATTTCAAATATTTCATGAAACATTTAATTTTTTTAAATTTCATGAATTTTTCCAACACTAAATATGGTATTCAATAAATAAAAATATATTCTAGTCGTTTAATATGTAAAATTATACAAAATAGGTACTTACGTTTATTCCAGATACACTCATTAGCTTGTATCACTGCTATAAAGTCTTCAATGTCAAACATGTTTAGAAAAACGTTGAATGCAATCTACTCACTTCAAAAATAATTTCGTTAATGGCAAATTTCAAAAACCGCCAGCGGATCGCGGCGATCAAATCGCCTGTGTAAACATGTCTATTGAAAAACCATTGTTTATTTAGAGCTGGCATACGCGGTTTTCCGCTCAGGAATTGACATGAGCGGTCGCAGGCGGTTGTCCGCGACGCTCGGCGGCGCGGTTTTCCATGTATGAATATGCCAATTGAATAACCCATGTTTAATTGTAGGCGGTTATCCGCCGCGGATAAAAACCGCGACCGCGCGCGGACAAACCGCTCAGTGTGTAACCAGCTTAAGAATACCACTTTCATACAGTGTTGCCAGATCTATAATGCCTGCGGTTGGGGTGAAACGATTATGATTTCCGTATCAGATGTATAATTACCGTATATTTTTTTTTCGCCAAACAATGCATTACAAACCTTAAAATGCCATTTCTATTTTACACAATCAAAGAATCGAAGTACCATGTTTACTAATATGTATGTTTATTATAATATATTTACAACAAGTAACATAATATAACATACATCAGAATATATATTTGAACTCACTTTATAGACATATTTATGAATAGTAAACATCTTATAGAATTTAATTAATTTAAAAGAAATATTTTTACCTAATATTTATACTTATTTAAAAACAACTGTATTTTTATTGATCACTTTCATACATATTAATAGTTAATACTAATCAATCTTTTTTTAAACATAAAATAAACAATATTAATAACAATAAAAACTTGATGTATAAGTGTAGTACCTACATCTTACACTGTATAACAAAAACAACAAATTTAAATAATAGCATAACATTATAACAATTAATTAAATATGATAATTATAAAACAACAAAATTTAAATATATTATGAGAAAAATATTAATAATTTACTTATCACATTAGTTATATATTTGTACTTATTTAAAAACAACTGTATTTTTATTGATCACTTTCATACATATTAATAGTTAATACTAATCAATCTTTTTTAAAACATAAAATAAACAATATTAATAACAATAAAAACTTGATGTATAAGTGTGGTACCTACCTACATCTTATACTGTATAACAATAACAACAAATTTAAATAATAGCATAACAATTAATTAAATATGATATTCATAAAACAACAAAATTTAAATATATTATGAAGAAAAAAGATAAAAGTTTACTTATTATATTATATTATTACATAATATAGATCATAAAAATAGTCCAATATTTTCTTTTGGTAAAATGTCTAAATTACCTTGAATGTCTGTTTCATTGGTAATTCCTTGTTTTTCATAAATATGTTTGGTCATTGAGTTTATCATTGCTTTTGTTGGTTCAAATTTAACACAACTTGTGCTTTGTTTCATGTGTTCACTTGCTAAGAGCAAACTATTCATTGTTTCCGTATTTAGTTTATTCCTAACTTTGGTTTTTATTAAATTTATTTTTGAAAACACCCTCTCGCAGTCAACTGAAGAGTGAGGTAGGCTCAGAACTTTTAATATAAAACCAGCGACATTTTTAAATAGATTTTCACCTTCAGAGTCCATACTAAGTAATGCAATCCAAAAATCTTCTCCGTATTGAATCTTCCTGATATTTTCATTCAGTTCTGCAACTGCTAACATCCGCCATTCATCGTCCTCTTTTTGAAGTGTTTCATCATTGTATAGCTGTGTTATTCTTGGAACTTCAAAAAAGATTGAACTTAAAGTATTCAAGCGTTCGGAACTTAATACTTTACAGGGTTGTAAATAAGTCAACTGTTTAAGTAATTCACTGTTAAAATCAAACCTAGGAAAAAAATGTTTACAACAGTAGTAATGAATTCAAATCATATAACATTTATAGTAAATATATTATTTAATTTTTATTTGTTCTTACCTTTTTTTTATTTCTTTACAAGAAATTATTAAAAATTGTCTACATTTAGTATAAAACTCTATCAACATAGGCTTATTTGAATTTATTTCTGGTTTACTCAATGTCTTCATTACTTTAAATCCTAAATACATGGCTTCATTTACCAAAAACTGAGTACTATCATTGGGATCTATTTCTAGTGGTTTGTGTTGCTTTTTCATGTACGCATGTATCAGCTCTAAAATTTTTAAATTTAGATTTTAGTATTCAAATAAATTAAAACATTTAATGTTATTTGCAATAACAAATACCTGTATAGGTTACAGCCATTTTGGAATGCAATGTAAGAATAACGCCTTTTTCACTTTGAAAGAGTTTATTTAGATGGGTAAACTTTGGTAAGACCCATTCCAGGAATTCATAAAACAACTTAATGACTGGATCAGTTAAACGGTCAAGTATTGTAACAGTGCATGCAAGTCGTTCTTCATTTCTACAATTTAAACAAAATTTAAAACTTTTGTTATTTAAATTAGAAACTATCCTTGAATACTTTAACCAAATCAAAAAATTTTGATTTTAATTTATTAATTTTATGGTCAAAATAGCGAACACATATACATAACGTTTTAACAGTTCCTACATCCGTGCTCTCATCAATAATAATACTGAAGTTAGTATTTTTAAGATCATTTATTAGTTCATCTTTATGATTTTGTCCAATAACATGTTTTACTATGTTGGTACTTTTTGTTCTACCGAGATGAAGACCTTCAGCAATTTTAGAATCGGGAAAAGCTTCTTTTAAAACGTCTGTCAAATGATCCATAGTATTAAAAGATATGTTATGCTCTGCTAAGAACCCACATATTTTTATTTCGGCTCTTTTAATAGCTTGGTCATTATTTCTATTTGGAATTATTGTAGAAAACATATTGGTTTTAGTTCCAGTTATTGATTTAGTAGCTGATTTGTGCTTGATACTATTCATATGTTTTTTTACCGTCGAGAGTTCTGAAACCATTTCAAAACGACAATAACAGCAATGAGCTTTTAATGGATTTTCCTTCACAGGTCTTAACCAATTTTTGAACTCTTTCATATTAAGCCATTCATCTCTAAACTTTTGTTTTCGATGGCTTAAGTTTTTAGTTTGTTCTCCCCTGGGTGCTCGTACCTCAATATCCATCTCTTCCTCCGAGTTGGCCATGGTTAAATAGTATAATTATATTATAATTACAGTTTTAAAGTATATGGCAGCTGTTTACTGTTAACATTTAACTTTAAAAAGGAACAACATTTTTTTAAATATTTTAAACCGTGATAACGATGGAGGCATGGAGGTCTGCATTTTTTCTACACTTCGTAAAACGTATGGAGGAGACGATGGGAAAATAATGGTGTATGGTATAATTATTACCATACGACTATATCGATATGCGCAATTGATAAGGAAATACCTCAATTTTCAAAGATTTTTTTTTTTGGTAGGGTATCACTGTTTTTCTGGATGTACAACGAAGAAGTAACTACAACTGCATATTGTTTTTTTTAAATTAAGAAATTCAAATTACCGTATTTTTTTTATCGTTTGTATTCTTCCGTCCTCAGACCGTATACTTTGTAAAATTACCGTATGCCCCCAACCGCATCCGTACGTCTGGCAACACTGCTTTCATGGTCGTGATGTCCATATCAAGGACGACTGTACACGCGCCGCTCACTTCAAAGGACGCCGCCACCATATATATAGGGGACAGCGAGACAGCCTGAGTAGATGTATCCAGAGACGAGAACACCACACGACTCGCTTAGCCGCCAGCCATCACACACAACTTACACGGAGATTATCAATTCTTGAACGAGCTACAATTCGCTACAATCAACACTATTATTCTGCTTATTTTGTCTGGTTTAATATAATACATTTGATTACTAAACTAATTTGACTATTATTATTTAACAAGTACATCAGCTTTTGGATCCCTGAAGGGCCGACGGGTGTGAAGTTGGGGGACTATAGCTAGGAGACTATTATATTAAAGGCACTCACCAAATGTACAACCATCAACCACAAGATGGCGCCATGAAATTCATTACTTTTGTAAATAGTAATATAATAATATATTACATAGTAATAAGCGACCGAAGAGCCCAGGGGACTATTTTTTCGTACTGCCGGGTGCAAGTACCTATGCGCCGTTTTTAATTTTTTTGACCAAGTTCCGGAAGGTGGCGCCGCATTAAACCTATATATTCGGAAAGCCAGGAAAATTCTCTATAAGACGTTTATATTTTGAAAATGTTCAAAGCTTTCGGGGACATGGTAATAAGCGACCGAACAGCCCAGGGGACTATTTTTTCGTACTGAATAGGTACGGGCGGGTGTGCCGTTTTTAATTTTTCCGATCATGTTCCGGAAGGTGGCGACGCATTAAACCTATATATTCGGAAAACCAGGAAAATAATCTATAAGACGTTTATAGTTCAAAATTGTTCAAAGCTTCCGGGGATATAGTAAGATGCGACCAAACAGCCCAGGGGACTATTTTTTCGTACTGAATAGGTACGGGTGGGTGTGCCGTTTTTAATTTTTTACTTTTCTTTATTATCATTATGAGCCACCATAAATTGGTGGCTTCCAAAAATTGATTAATTACGAATTAAAATAGGAGTAAGTACAATTATTAATAAATTAATACTTACTCTCATTTCATCGTGATTTGTTTAAAACGCGGTACCTTATATCTTTGTATGATTCACTTCTCGTTCGAGAGGATTTTTTTTTTTTATTATTTACATGACTTTTTAATGTTAATAGTATTGTTTTAATGTTTTTGAAATGTTTTATATGTATCTTGCTATTATATTATTTTTATTTTTCACGCCACATTGAAGAAGTTCTTTTTAAGATTATAGTATAATAACTCAGAATTTTCATCTAATGAGAGTTTCTTCATGTGAGCCATCTTGCGTTTTTAAATATCATTATATCTTTTGTTTTTATCATGTAATGGTCTAGAATAACAATGAAAGAATCGGCAGATGGCGTCCCATGGTTCGTTTTATTAGATTACACTATTTCGTCTGTAATCAGGGTAGCAAAAAGTTAAAAAACAGCATTATGTGATTATTGGATTCAGCCATATATTTGCTTATGGTATATCGTATATGTCCGTTTAACATTATGAGTTATAATTATTTTGAACTTTTCTTGTCATGTTTACAAAAGTAACGTTTTACCATTAGATCCATGGTGTTAGTGTGTTTGATTGGCATAGTGGTAGTTTCTAATTTTAAATAAAATAATTAACAATTGTTGGTACCTATATAACATTTTCTAATAAAAATTCAACCTATTTTTGTATTCTTGTGAATTGTGATAATATTATGTATAATTTTATATCTTCACATGTTTTTTTATATTTCAATGGTTTTTTGCCAAACCACATTTTAATAAGTATTTTCTACATTCTACACAGACACGCAGTAAACAATATGTTTTGGTTGATATTTTTTTTTCAATCGTAGAATACATATGCTTTTCGTGGGTTTTTCGGATATATATATATATATATATTGTTTATATATTAATTGTATATATATGTATATAAATATACACACAATATAACCAATGTATATTGTACGTTTATCGTTATTTTCCGTTATCGTACTTATATTTTATGTCGATTAACCATGATAATATCAAACGGGACAATATTTTACGAACAAGTGAAAAGGTTGCAAAGTTTAAATAGTGAGTTACAACTGCGTGTGTGTTAAAATAAAATGTAATTTTTTAAATTTATAATTCTATGATGGCTAAAGTGATTGAAATTATACGTGGAAACGAAACACTAATACTAGACAATTTTAAATCTTTTATTGGATCAGTAAACAAAACTAATGAAAATATTCGTTGGCGATGTATTAAAAAAAGTTGTTTCGAAAAAGTGTATATCTACTGATAACAATTATGAAGTATTATCGGATCAATCAATTATACATAACCACGAACATGATAATAATTATTATATTTTTTTTTCAAATTTTTATATCTGATAAATTTACAATTATACCATAATAAATATTATATTGTTTTTAATTTTTTTATTTTATTTGGTGGAAACGGGAAAGGTATACTTTTGGTGGAAACGGGCAGTTTCAATCGCAACATTGTGTATTTGTGTATAGGCTGTATAGAAATATTCCAAGTACGAATTCAAACATATTTCAACAAAGGTGGGTGGGTATATCGTATATGACGTAATGGATTGTGTTAAATTTGAATACAATGATATAATATCAAGAAAAACAATTCTGAGCGAAAAATAAATTAAAATTATAAATTTGATAAATTTTGACAACAATTGAACTTTAAACGCTTATAACACAAAATTGTGCCAATGTATTGCAACTCTATGAAACATAATCATGTGCTGGTAGGTATATCGTTTTGATTTCCGTCGATAATAACAAGTCTGGCTGTTACTATAACAATCAAACGGCTCACGGGCAGAGGCGGATCTAAGAATTTTTACGCCCGGGGAAAATATTAAAATTAAGCCCAATCATAGACCAAGATTGAAAATACAATATCATTCCCTACAATTGTTTTATCATAACTGGAACTAAAATTACAAACATACTTATTAACTTTTAAACACATAATAATATATAGTAATTAATATATTCTGTGGACTGTGGTGTAACCAAGTTTATACTAATAAACTATCACACCAAAAACACTTTGAATTTAAAAACTTAGTTAACATATTGTTGATACATTTTTAATTACTGGAAATACTGTAGTGGTTACTTAATTGTATTTATTATTAGAAATAATAATAATATTAGTTATATATAAATGTTGAAAAATAATCAAAACTTTAATTACCTACCTATCCTGTATAAAAATTATAAACCCTTTTGCTGTTTTGGTTCTATGCGCCTCAGCTTTCAATTATAATAGATTTTTATGGTAAAATATAAAATCTTTTATTCTGATTAGGGTACACAATTTAGGCCAGTAAAAAATTGTATTTAATTAAACAATTTATAATAGAAAAAATGAAAAAGTAAATATTTAAAATCAAATCTTTTTTTTAAACATAAACAAATGTATAACTATCTTGGTAAATATTATAATATATAATATTATAAACTATATATTACAGCTAATGGCCATAGTTGCCGAAGCTTAAGATCAATAAAAAAAAAAAAAAACTATATAATTAACATCATTTTTAATATACAGATATAATATACGTATCGTACGTTGATTGATAATCTTATAACAGTTATTGTGTAGGTATCAGAAATTTTAACGAAAACACAGCATCAATAAATGCCTATAGGTATAGTTACTAGTTACATTTTCACTCAGAATCTTAATAATTATAGTATATTAGTTGTATATGCTTGCAGTAGGTATGCTAATGCCAGTATACCAGTATATACTTAGTATACTAATATGAATCTATATTCTATTCATAATACCATTAACTTTATATAATTTTTTTCATTAATTCCAACGTCATCACTACAACATCATAAACAAATAATGTGAAATAAAAATGTTTTCTTAACTTCTATCACCAAGCATTAAATAAAGAACTAAAGAAAAATTACGCCCACTAAAATTTTACGCCCGGGGATCAATCCCCGGCTTCACCCCCCTAGTTCCGCCTCTGCTCACGGGTCACCGTTTGTGTACAATATCATTATGATTATTTATAGATACTAATATACTAATATACTATAATTAATAATACTATATATATACTATTTACTATACATTATATAATATATTATATATAAATATATATATATATATATATATAATATAATATATATTATGATATAAACTATAATGTATACTATTTATATTCATGATAATATTATATTATTGTATGCGGACCAGGCGCAACATTTAACAAACTGCACCGCACGCCAACCCAACCAATTTTCCTATTGTTTGTTGGTTACTACTTTCGTAGACAATCGACCGCTCGGGTCCAACATCATTGTTAATGTTTCACAATGCATTTTTGTACAATAATTCGTATATATGTAAATAAACACTGCAATTGTGTTGGTTGACGTAGTGCCGTTTTGTGCCCGATAATACCCGGGGCGGCTCGTCAGAGGAGAGTTCGAGACCGGCAAATACTTGTAAATTATACTTATCTAAAAATAAAAATGTTTAGA